CTCTCTCTCTCTCTCTCTCTCTCTCTCTCTCTCTCTCTCTCTCCCTCTCGCTCTGTTTCTATCGCCCGCTTGCTCACCTTGATGTTGAAAAACTTCTCCATGCCGATGTCAGCCCCGAACCCCGCCTCCGTCACAACAAACCCGTCCTACCAGTACACCCGTGCAACGAAAGAAGACCAAGCGGAGACGACGGGGGAAAAAACGAAGGGCGTTAATGTTGTCGCTCTCGAGAACATCTCAGGGAGAATAACTTCGCGGGCGAAATCCAGGCACACTTTCCACTATAGGGCTCTTTCAGTTGAACATAACGACTTGCTGCCGCACCTGTTCATTGGTTGGTTGTGGCATCGAATGTTGGCACGGCCAGGAACACGGCCAGGGGTTTGTAACAGAAACACTTCTTAAGATCTCGGCAATAACAAGGTGTAATTTCGTTCATTAGCCCCCTCCCCAAAACCAGCCAAGCGTTTGAGGTTGTTCTGCTCTACACTTGAACCCTGCACACATCTTCCATGTCTAAGGTATGCTCTTGCTTGGATAATTTTCCATCAACGTCCATGACACCACCACCAACAAGCAAGCAACGAACACGCCCACCCCCCTCCGACGAGCTTGAGGGCTGTGAGATTTCGGGAGTTCCGTGCATTCATAGGGGCTCCGGGGATGCGGGGGGGCACAACAACAGCAGCAGTAACAACAACAACACCACCAACAACAAGCAACAAACACACACACACACCTCCCTGACGATCCTGAGGGCTATGAGGTTTCGGGGGACCCGTGGTTTCATATGTGCCTTACGAGGGGGGGGGGGCAGAAGAATAAGAATAACAACAACAACAACAACAAGAACAAGAACAAGAACAAGAACAAGAACAAGAACAAGAACAAGAACAAGAACAAGACAAACAAGAACAACAACAACGACCAAAAAAACAAGCAACAAACACGCGAACCTCTCCGACGAGCTTGAGGGCTACCCTGTCCGCCACGATGGAAGAGTTCCCGTGAGCGATGTTGGCAAACGGCCCTGCGTGCACGAGCACCGGAGTCTGCTCCGCCGTCTGCATCAAGGTGGGCTTTATTGCGTCCTGACGAAGACGGAGGGGATTGAGCGACCCATGCACACGCACACCGAATGGACGAATGAACGGATTCGGCTCAGAACGGGTCCCGTGGTGGCCGAAGAACTCACGGACAGACGGACAAGACACGTAGGCAAAGCAGGCTGGCAAACGGACAGAAAGGTACACAGAGAGGCATAGGGAAGACAAACTCACGCCGACAGACAGAACCCACGCCGACAGACAGACAGATAGACAGACAGACAGACAAACAGACAGACAGGCAGACAGACAGACAGACAGACGGACGGACGAACGGACGGACAGACAGGCGCACACCCACAGGCACGCAGAAAGGTGTTCTCGACACGGTTCACGCTAGTGCTTGAGGCAATCTCCTGCCGTCGTTCTGGTAAATGCGCACACTTCAACAGCATGGGCCGCGGGCTACAAACGGGGAATGACCGCCGAGATCACGTCAGCAGTAGCAGTAACGGCAACAACAACAACAACAGCAACAACTACAACTACAACTACAACTACAACAACTACAACAACTACTACAACAACTACAGCAGCAACAACAACAACTTGCACAGACGCCTGGACATGCACACCCTTACCATACCTTCATCAGCACGCACAGGGCCCCCGACACCCCAAGGTCGTCCGTCGTCACGGCCTCGCCTCGTCTGCTCCTGCCAATCACCTTGTCCGAACGACAACAATCAAGGACACCCAATTGAACCAGCCTTGTCAATCTGAACAACGCACAACGGCCTGCACACACAATACACATTTATTGTTGTGTGTTGACGTGTTGTTAGGGCCTTTACAAAAATAAATTCACCAGCCAGTAGCTGCATCAGCTTTGTCTTTCTGAACAGTAAACGGCGACAAGATTGCCAGCACCAGCAAAAAAGGCTCGGGGTGCGTTGTGTGCTTTGTTGTCAGGGCATTTCAAGACAGACGTAAGCGACAAAAAAAAAAAAAAAGGTCTGAGCGTGTTTTCAAAACGTCGGCTAATCAGGACCCAGACCCAAAAACACAAACGAGTAGCTGTGCATATTGTCTTGTCGAAGTTTTTCCGCTGCAAACACACTTAACCCGCTGCGTTTGTTCACACACTGCCTGCCTCTACGCCGCCGCAGGCACGCACCATCCTTCCCAAGCGGTCCCTCAGGTCCTGCAGCGAGGTCGCCAAGGCGAGGACCGCCATGATCTCGCTGGCCACCGTGATGTCGAACCCCGTCTCGCGAACGGCGCCGCGCGACTCACCCTCCTTGGGACCCTGGCCCACCGTTATGCTTCGAAGCATCCGGTCGCAGGTGTCTACCACCCTCTTCCACGTGATGCTCGAAGGGTCGATGTCCAATCTGTCCGGGGGGAGGGGGGTGGGGTCCGCGGCCGAATCGAGAGGGGAGGGGGAGGTACTCATTTTTTGCATGCGGTTACGCCGTTGACCACGCGTCCTCGAGAGAAGACGGACAAGTGTTCCGACAGGACCGACCGCCGATGGCCAATCGTCCTTGCTGCTTTGACAAAGATGGCTCAAAAATGTCCGGGGGGGATTTGTTTCATGCGCTTCCTGATGCGGCACGATCGAGAATGTTGCCGGCTCAACTTTCTACATCTCGAAGGCTTGGCATGAATAGTCTCTAGAATCAAGCTGTATACGTGGATACGACTCATGGAGAAGGTCAAGCAAGAAGGGAAGTTTTCTGTGAACCTGTATTCAGGAGAAAAAAGGGTCATGGTGGAAAAGGTCGGGAGGAAGGGGACGGATCAAAGCAGGTCCAGGATGTCGAACAACCGACATGCATGTTGCAGCAACATGGACACCAATGACTACCTCCTAAACGACGATAAAAAAAGAAAGACCTAAACTAGTACCTTGCGAACCGGCTGATTTCTTCGTCAGTGAGATCCTCAGGCCTTGTCTTGTCGATGCCCAGCTTCGACAGCCGGCTCAGCATCACCGGGGCGAACCGCCGCTCTCTTCCGTTCTCCGGGCACAGCCTCCGAAATAGCGCCTTGGGCGTGAAAAATACCGTCAGGGGGGGGG